GTGTCCCACCCTAGCGACAATTAAAATAACTAAATAATTAATACTATCCTTTGATGTCTGCTACAGAAACTATCTTTGTATGTTTTCTAAACATAGTTCTTGTATTAACATAATAAATTTATATATGTCTTGGATCTGTAGTAGTCAAATTTACGAAAGTAAATGTCTTACAATAATATAAAATGTACTTATGGGTTTACTTATTTGTGTTTACTTAGTGCTTAAACATTTTCTTTTCACTTTATTAAGTAGAGGCCTACTCTATAGTCCTTTTTGCTACCAGGAAAAGTCTTTCCGTAATTATTTTCCAAGAAATGTAGCTACACTGTTAAGGAGTTGTACCTCCCAGCGCTATTTTCTCGAGAGCGAATAAGTCTGTTGAAAAAAAAAAGAATATACCGCACGCACAATATTGTTGTTTAAAATACGGAGTAATTGATAAATTGTAAATATTAATCATAACTTTATATGTCATAATAACGTTTCTTTGCGACATTTCTTAATACGTTGTGAGTCAAAATAAATCCGAGGGAGTTGATCCCGCAACATAAATATTTAGACGATGGCACCACGGGCACGGGTGCAAACAAATTACCAGACAGCGCATCTCAAACTTCTAATCGTGTATTTACTCGGTATTCAACATTTACTCTAGAGTTATTAAAATTAGCCTCCCGGAAACCACATGCTACGTTGTTTGCATATTTTATATAAGTGAATAATATTTTATAGTTTATTCTTCTTTACTTCTTCTTCTGTAGAATCTATAAATTATTTTATTTGGGATGGGTAGTTATTTCTTTATGGTATTTTAGTTTGGTGTTTTAGATTAAGATAAATCTATCACCCTATTTCTAAGGTCAAAATACCTCGTGGTGGTATACTATCTTGTATGTGGAAGAGATGAAAAGTAGTCTGGCCAACGACGGAGGTCAAATGTGCTACACATTTGGTACTAAGATCGCCACGGATCAACGATCCAGTGGCTTACAATGAGTTGCAGCTCTAAGGGCCGCAGGTTCGAATCCTGCACCGAACAAGTATTTGTATGGCCTACAAATAACTATACTGGGTCTGAATGTTTGCCCTTGTGAAGTTTATATATGTAAACTGATCCCACGATACTGGCGAAAATCCTAATGTGAAGGTTATGTTAAAAAAAAAAACTAGAAAACAGTAAATATAAAAAAGAATAATAAATAAGAACTTGGCAGTCAGGCTACAAATTCTTCTTTCAGTAAGAGGGATTCATATATAGTGACTGCAAGGAATTGATGTACAAAAAGACTGGGCCGGGATTCCGCTGCCGAGGCGTTTCGTCTGATTGGCGCTTATCATTTACTTATTTATATTTAATACTACATATTCTATTTAAATATATTTTATTCTATCTCAGTTATGTTTATAATTTATCTTTACATATGTTTATAAGTTTTTATGAAACCTAACAAAACGAGGATAAAAATAAAATTCTTAATTCATACACCTTTAAACATATACTCGTACATACATTATTGATAATATATTATTCCATAATGACTTGAATTAGTTTTGCTTCGACATCCCTGTTTGTGTTACTATGCCTCAACTGTGACCCTGTTTCTCTGTCACCAGCCAATCTTGTCCATATGCTAACTGCTACAGCCCTTATCTTATTGATCCATCTTACGGATGGCCTGCCTTTATTTCCTTGTTTCGTGTGACATGTTCGTTATTATTTATAACCATTTTCTCTTGCCCTCCTCTGATTGCATATATTGTCCATTTCCATTTAAGTTTACTGATAGTTTCTGCAGTGCCCTTGCTCTAGAATTTTTCTTTATGGTTGCAGTTCTTATATTATTTAATAATCTTTTTTCCAACATAGTCCTTCCTATGGGCTTTCAGTATACTACAAGTTTCTTGTTGTGGGCTTTAGTGGTTGCTTTTTATTTTATTTTTTTGCGCCCAAAGCAATAATGGCAACCCTCCGGAAAGCGGAGGAGGGAGGCGTTGAATGCTCATAGCATACCACGCAGCCGGCTGCGTGGTAGTATGAGCATTAAGGAGACTTTTACCCACTAAACACCGCCTTTAGGGACTGGCTTAACGATCTAGCTAGAGATCTTTAAGCCGTATCGAACGCGACCCCCCTTGGGTGAAAGGGCGCTAGCGGCGAGTAGCCGCTCGGAAGAATTGCTGCCTAATTAAGGCAGCTTACGAATGGGATGACTAATTATATTGAGTTTAGAAGGTGTTGGTGCTCGGTAACTATGAGCAGACGGTCCTGAGGGGACTGAGAAGCGCGAAGTTTGCGTGCTTAAATTGCGATCTCTCTTACGTTGACATTGCGGATAGCAGAGTATACTGTATCTGTTATCGGCGTAAGAGGGTTCCGCCTGATTTCGGGGCCCTAGTGGGCGAAGGTGAGGAGGCCTGTAGGGTCACCGAGGTGCCAATATAGGTCCTGAGGTGACTGTGAGTTGCCCTGAAGGGGCTTTTTGGATGAGAGAGCCGGTACGGTCATTGACTGGTGGCGGAACTTTTTTGGCAGCTTTGTTGCCGAGATTGGGACGAGGCGCGCGAGCTCTGAATTTGGCCGCATGGTCAGTCTGTACGCAAAGGATGCAAGCGGGTGGGTACTCGGTATCACGGGGCCGAGGACACTCTTTCGAGCTGTGCGGGTCTAGGCAGGGAGGCCTGGGAGGGGCTGAGCAGTTGGCCACCGCATGCCCGTAAAGTTGGCAGCGGTGGCACTGTGCCGGAAAACCGCGCCTATAGGAGGCTTCGACTTTGATTCTCGACAGGCCGCACACAGTGTGTACCTGTCGGTATATGTCTTTAGCCTCCGGCACGTTGGACAAAATGAGGAGGGCAAGCGAGTACCTCTTGCCCCTACTGCTGTGCATCTTGTGTACAGCCTCGACTGGTAATCCCTGGGACTTAAGGTCCTCCAGGATTTCCTCGTTGGCGAGTTCAAAAGGAACTCCGCGGAGGATAGCCCTGACTTTACGTTCTTCAGGGAGAGAGTAGGTGTGATAGGCCACACCTTCGGATGTGAAGAGTTTGGTGATGTTCCTAAAGTCTTCCATAGACTGCGGAACGATTTTAATTGACTCACCAAGGTTGGTGGCTCGGTCATATTTAAAGCCGCGTCGTAACAGGCCTTAGAAAGTCTAGTAAATTGAATTTTCCCTGAGGAAGACGGGGGGCGGGACCTGTTTCTTTGTGGCAGCGACGGGTGCTGCGGTGGAGCGAGCAGGCGCGGGGGCTGCGGGGGTGCGGGCGGTGACAGGGGCTGCGGTGGCGCGGGCGGCGGCGGTAGCGTCGAGGGCTGCCGGGACGGGAAGTGTTCGAGAGGCCGCAGCGCGTTTAAAGCCGCGCTTGGATTTCACTTACGTGAAGGGAGTCATATCAATAACTGATTGATCGAAGTCTGCCGAGTCCGAGGAGCAGCTACTGGATGAGGTTTGAGCGGACCTCTTACGGGTGGATGAAGTTTCGGACACGATGTCAGAGTGCTCCATGACTTCGGAGTCACGGCCCGCTAAGCAGGCCGCGACGTAGGGCGGGGGGACACATGCCTTAGGGGCAGAGGACAGAAAAGCGGAGCGGAAGACTTCGGCAACAGAGGTATCGTCAATATTGACGGATATGCCTGAGTCTTGAGAATACTGTTGGATTACGGACTTAACTATGCTCAGAATGTGGTTTATGTCAATGGTGGACATGTTGGGTGGACAGGGAGGTTAACGCTGTATTCCAAGAAACTGGGGTCCCTTTGTCCTGAGAAGAACAAAGGGCTTGTTCTGAAAAGAACAAGTGACGCCTTTTCCAAGAAACAGTAACACAATATTAACAAAATAGTAACAAGAACAGTAAACAATAGAAATAACAATATAAAGCAAGAAAATCGCTTAGACCTCCCCGCCGGGGTGAGGGGCAAGAACGATGCTTAGAAAGAAGGTGACTCACCAACGGCGACAGCCCTGTTGGTGCGAACGGGAGAGCTGAGGCGCGCGAGCGAGAGGGGCGCTGCCGTACAGGGATGGGAGCGCTGACTGCTTGACACGACCGCTTGGGAGCGCCGCGGCATGGGGAATGATGAAAGTGGTTGCCCAGGTTTGTAAGTTATATATGAGTACCGGTAATTCGTAAGTATAAACATTTTACGCTTGATAGTCGTACTCGTTTCTCTTTTTTTTTTCATAACAAAATTTTTTCAAACTCTAATATTATTTCTATAAGTTGTTTAAGCGTTTGTCGATTTCCTTTGAAGTTGGATCTGTTGGCGAGATTACTTGACCCAAATGCACGTATTATTTTTCGTAATCAATTGTGTTGTTAACGTAGATTAATATGATAAATTTATTATTAAGCAATTATCCTATAAAACAAAAGAATGGTTAAATTTTCCAAAAACAAAAGTTACCTTAATGTTTTTAAATTCATGGCGCTAATATATAATAATAATAATAATAATAATAAAGGCGTAGGGAAGTGACGACCCCATCGCCCGCTGACGTAACGGTTATGTGACAAAACCGCTACGTCAGCGCAGTCAGTCAGCACCTTGCCAAGAGGTGTTAGTGCCGTGCCTCGGCAAAAATTGAAGGTGCAAAGGCCCGCTTGTGCACATGGCCTCACCATGAAACGGCGCCGGGTCTGGGCGTCTCCCGCTAAATGACGCCCACCACTATGGATGATGGAATACGGAAGAACGCGCAAAGGGCCGCTGCCTGGAGGTCGCCAGGGCGCGTCTGGAGCTGGCGCTGGACGCGGCAGCATGCGAACCGCCAGCCGAGCGCGAGGTGTTGCACGACCACCCAGCAGCCCCTCGCATCCATCATCCCCACCAGCTGGCTTGGTGTCGGCAGGGTCTTCGCGGGCCCAGCAATCGGCACCCGCCTCTGGTGGAGTACGCCGCATGCGTTGGACAACCCAGATGAACAGCAACGCATTGCGGGCGTATTTTGGGGCGAAAGGGGGGAGAAACTGGATGTTTGGCGTATCGGGCTAGGATGCATCGTCTTTTTGCTGAGCTGGAGCCATCTTTAACCGTCACAGAGCAAAACCTGGCAGACCGAGTTCGGTATATCTTGCGCTCAAATATATTTGATGTCGCCGAACTCGAACGGCTACGACGTGAGGCTGTTCCCTCGTCGGATGAGAATGCTACGGCTGAGGATGCGGCGCCACAAATGGTAGAGCAACCCGCAAACGTGGATGCCGCCGTGAATACCCCAGTTGTGGTTGATTCAAACGATGATGGAACAGTCGCCCAGGAACTGGAATTAGAGCATATGAGGAGTACATTGGAAGAGGCGATTGTGGAAACGCGCAGTACGCCTCTCGAAAATCGACCGCGACTTCCCCGCATAGCCCTAAGCAAGCGGAATCGGGCTGTCGTGAGGGCTCTGAACCCAATGCTGGTGACCTATTTGGAAGCCAGCCGGGACCTTTGCGAGACGGACTCAATTCTTTTTGGCGCCGCGCTGGCAGTCTGCCGTATCATAGGCGCCAAGGTTTCCACGGCTGGACGCGCTACTGGACATAGTAGCGCTATCCCAGCATGGAGAAGAAGAATTGAGGAACGTATCGCAAAGGCTAGAGCTCTCATCGGCAGACTGATATGCTTCAGATCAGGCAACAACAGGCCAAGAATTGTGCGCACCGTCAGGATGGCGTTTGCTGGGACAAATGTCAGTTTGTCCCAGCCGGATATAACGCAAAAACTGACGGAGCGCATAGATGATCTGAAGCAGAGAATCGCTGCTTGGGGAAAACGGATTCGGCGATATACCGAGAGGTCGACACGGTTCAACCAGAATCGTCTCTTCCAGAGTGATCAGAAGAGGCTCTATGAATCATTGGAGCGACCAATGGTAAGTGGAACGGGTCCAGCACCGAATCAGGCCGACACTGTAGCATTCTGGCGCGGCCTGTGGTCAGAGCCCGTAAACCACAGCGAGGGCCCTTGGACGGAAGTTGTGGCGAGTCAGTGTGCGGGTATTACGCCCATGGACCCCGTCATCATAACGCCGGATGACGTAGCTGAGGCGGTCCGTAGGGCCCCGAACTGGAAAAGTCCGGGGCTTGACGGGCTGCATCACTACTGGCTGAAGGGGTTCATGGTGTGTCACTCTGTGCTTGCCCGACAGTTTCAAGAGGCTCTCAACCAGAAGTCGCTCCCAAGCCTCTTCACTACTGGGATCACTCATTTGGTTCCTAAAGACCAGGGTACCACAGACCCGAGCAAATACCGCCCCATCACGTGTCTACCGACCATATACAAGACACTAACATCCATTTTGAGCGCGAGAATCACTTGTCACCTGGACTCAAATCAGGTGATGTCGCGCGCTCAAAATGGATGTCGGGGCGGTGGTCGTGGAACCAAGGAACCACTCCTCATTGACGCGGTCATTGGCAAAGTGGTGAAACGCAACCGTCGGAACTTCTCCGCCGCCTGGATAGACTACAGAAAGGCATTCGACTCGGTGCCCCATACATGGCTAAAGAGAGTCCTCGAGCTGTACAAGATAGACTGTACAGTTAGAGACTTCCTTGAGCAGTGTATGGGGCAGTGGAGTACGATCCTTTGTCATCTGGGCGAGCGGATGATGGCTGCGGAGAACCACATAAGGATAAGAAGGGGTATCTTCCAGGGCGATTGTCTGAGTCCAATCTGGTTCTGCCTCTCTCTGAACCCTCTCAGTACCTTACTGGAGGGCTCCGGGAGGGGATTTCAGCTACGGAGAGGAGGGACAAAAGTGACCCACCTTTTCTATATGGATGACCTCAAGTTATTCGCCTCCAGTCGCTCCCATCTTATGGAATTGCTAAACATCACTTGTGAATTTAGCAATTCCATTGGAATGGAGCTTGGGACGGATAAGTGTGCGGTCCTCCATGTTGAAAGGGGAAGGGTTGCTAACTCTGAGGGCGTAGACTTATCTATGCCCGTCAACTTAAGGACCCTTTCCGAAGCTGAAACATACCGATACCTGGGTATGTCACAAAACATCGGTATCGATGAGACTGGTATGAAACAGTCAGTTTGCGACGTGTTTTATGCACGCTTGACCAAAGTGCTTAACAGCCTTTTGTCCGGTGTGAATAAGGCACACGCATATAACGGCTGGGTCATGCCTGTCCTCATGTATACCTTTGGCATACTCAGGTGGACTCCGACTGAACTTAACGCCCTGGATAGAAAAGTCCGCACTACCATGACGTCCCATAGGATGCATCATCCGAGATCGTCGGTAATGAGGTTGTACTTGTCGCGGAAGCATGGTGGTCGTGGCTTCTTGAGCGCGCTCACCATGCATAATCGCGAAGTGTGCAGCCTCCGTGATTACTTCCTGGCGAGATCGGATGATCCATTCTATATGGACGTCATTTCTTGTGATAAAGGACTTACCCCTCTATCCTTAGCCAACGAGCAATGGCAAGACCCGGCAGTGCAGAGCATTTCCGACCGAGAGACCGTATGGAAGGAGAAGGAGCTCCACGGGAGGTTCTACAAGGCTCTACATGAGCCTTTCGTAGACACAGTAGCCTCCCTCCACTGGCTACGCTTTGGTGATCTCTTCGGGGAAACCGAGGGTTTTGTCTGTGCAATACAGGATCAGGTTATTAAGACCAACAACTATCGGAGATACATCCTAAAGGATGGCACCGTCGACATCTGTCGAGCTTGTCGCCATCCCGGTGAGTCACTTAGGCATGTTATCTCCGGTTGTTCGGCGCTTTCTAACTCTGAGTACTTGCACAGGCACAACCTAGTAGCCAGAATTCTACACCAGGAGCTCGCTCTGAAATACGGTCTCGTGGACCGGAAATTGCCGTACTACAAGTACTTGCCGGAAGCCGTGCTCGAAAATGATCGCGCCAGGCTCTATTGGGACCGGGCCATCATCACAGACAGGACTATTCTTGCGAATAAGCCTGATATTGTGCTGATGGACCGGGCACAGTCAAGGATATTTTTGGTCGACATTACCATTCCGTATGACGAGAACCTCGTGAAAGCCGAAACAGACAAGCAAACAAAATATCTGGACCTGGCTCACGAGGTGACCGACATGTGGGGTGGTCTGCCGACCGAAATTATTCCTGTAGTCGTCTCTGCAAACGGGCTAATCCCAGTCAGCCTCTCGGGTCATCTGAGGCGGCTGGGACTACGTGGCGGACCGCTCCAGGTTCAAATGCAGAAGGCGGTGCTCCTCGATACCGCCCGCATCGTCCGCCGGTTTCTTTCTCTTTCCCCCTAACCCTCGGCCGTTTGGTCTCCCCTGCCGAGGGCCTCCATCTGGTTGGGCTTTTATTTATTTATGTACTTTTATATTTATTTTATGTTATTGATATTTATGTATATTTATTTTTTCATTTTCATTTATAATTATATATTTATAGAACCCAACCAGATGAGAAAACTATATAGATACCCCATAATAATAATAATAATATAATATTAATAAGTTTACAGCGACCGCTTAGTTATGTTTTGAATCCACATAAATCCAGACGAAGTTCAATCACCCCCGTATTCTTTTTATATTTTTATCATTGAATACTTCACTTGAGTATTTTTAAGATTTTTAAATACAACAACCGACATACTAAATGTGAGACTTTTACGACTGTCGAAAACGTTCACACAAGCATAAACTAGACATTTACGTTTGTTTTAGATCATTATCCTCGTTTTTATTCAACAATATGTTTTGAGCAAAGATGTTTTATAGGTTGAGTCTAAATTTGTTAGAAACAAATATTTCACGCGTAAAATTATTTTATCTTGATATATTTTTTAGAAATTCTATTATCATATTATTATAAATAGGAAAGTATATTTGGTATTTAGTCATTGGATTAACACTGCAATGTCATTCGTTAAGGTGATTATAAAAAACTGAACGTGTTTAAACATACGTGTTTAAACATTTTGTTTAGTGTTCCCGATCGTGGATTCACTCACAGAAGATTTCAGGTTAGCGATAAGAGAATAAGTGGCAAAAGAAAACATCCTAATCATACTCTAGTTAAGCCATATTATCTTTTAAAGAAATCCTGGAACTAAAACTTTTGATATTAATTTAATAACTAAAATGTAATGAAAGGAAAAACGGACCACTTATATAACTTTTCTCCATCATAGCACTTTATTAAAGTAAATATCACATTTTTACTCCGCGAAAATATAATGTTTCATTTCGTGACATAATTGGGTTGAAAGAAATATTTATGAACGTCGTGAAAAATTACATCCTCGCTTTCATTAAAGATGCTTCGGAAATTTGATTTAAAACGCAATATTTTAAATCAAGTGATTAGACGCATTCTGGATACCTTTTTTTTTTTACAAAAATTCCTTATTATTCTATAAAATAGCTGTTCTCCGTGACCCGCGTGAAATTTATTACGATTATTTACTTTGTGCGGAATCCTAAATTTTTTCTAAAATATAAGTAGCCTATGATACTCCCTATGACATCAGCTAGCTGCCGTTGAAAGTTCCGTCTTAAAATCTGCCTAGCTACTTCGGAGATTAACTGGAACAAACAGACAGAGAGGTATATAATAATTTTAAAAATTGTTTTAATGTTATAAGTACCGTATACTTTCATATGCATTTAGTAAAAAGATGTTATTTTAATATTACAAACAGACACTTTGTATATTTTTAGTTATCTTACAACTTGGGGTATTTTTTATAGCATAGGGTGACAAACGAGCACAGAGTCCACCTGATGGTAAGTGTTTTCTGCGGCTCAGACATCTACATCTATCCTCGATTACAAATCAAAATGCAGATGCGTTGTCACCCGTGATAACTAAGATGGAATGAATCGTTTCCAGTAAAATGGGTCTCCGGTTCTCTACACTCACCATACAAAACACAGCAGCATTAAGCTACTACATATTTTACGCTGGTATTCTGTGAGAGCGAGGTCCTTCCCCGGTCGGGCCAACCCAACGACTACACAGCCCGAAAGATTTTGCCACTTTGATAATATACGTACCTGATTTGAATGTATATTTATTATATAAACATATATTTATATATATATATATATATATATATATATATATATATATATATATATATATATATATATATATGTATATATTTATATATATATAACATGAGCAAAACCTTCTCGAATATATTGATCTCGAAGGAAACATTGTAAATATTGGTAATGAAATGTTAAAACGTATGCAGGATCGTATATTTCTTATGCCATAAGAGTATTTTCCAATAGATAATTTAAAAAAAATACTACATTCGATTTAGAATTTACCTTTTAATTAAATAAAAAGGCATAACAAATTGTTGAAGAACAAAGATTTTAAAAATAAAATATTAGGAATATGTAGTTTGTAATAAATATTATTTCTTTAATATATTATAATAAAAGCTGATAAATATTTTGTATATTTAATTTTATTCTCCAGTGCTATAGCAAAAAATTTAGACAGCGCTTTAGAAGCTTTGCCTCTGTTGGTTTCTTTACTCATGTGGCACTGCTGCAATAATAGGTATAATTTTTTTACAATTATTTTGTTATACACAAGCTAAACAACATTTGCTTGAATTTTTAAAAAATATATTAAAAATAATTTATATGGTTATACTATTCGGTTCAAAAAAATTTTATAAAAATTATAGTTGTTCATTTTCACTCTATGATTCATTTAAAACACAATTTTGAAAATAGGTGTTATATTGAAATAATACTAGTTTTTACGGAATTTATCGCGTATATTTAACTTTTTAATTACCCGACGTTTCGAGAGCTTTACAGCACCCATGGTCACGGAAAGGACTGAGATGTTCAACGTCCAGCTGTCATAGTTAACCGCGGTTACCATAGATTAAAATTTAACTTTTGTTCCGATCTACACAGTATGAACTTATGGTATCATGGAGTCTTGCAGTTGTATGCTTGGGTTGGGATTTAATTTTATTTATTATAGGATCCCAAGCAGATGGTAGCACCCAGCCATCTTCTCTATTGAAATTAGGATGTTTTTTGATTTCAATAGCCTCGCGAATCATCCTTGGAAGGAATCGGTGTTCTTTAGCGAGGATTTGTGGTCTATCAAATCTGATGTAGTGACGGGGGCGATCCTGTACATGTTCACAGACTGCAGACTTCCCGGAGCGTCGATTCTTCACATCAGCTATATGTTCTTTGACGCGGGTTTTAATGGATCTTTTAGTTTGTCCTATGTAGGAGAGACCACATTCACAATCAAGCTTGTACACTCCTGCATCTTGCAGAGGGACGTTACACTTGAGTGATGGTAAAAACTGACCAATCTTCTTCGGCGGCTTGAAGTATGTTTTGATGGAAGCGCGCTTCAAGATGTAGCCAATCTTGTCAGTGACTCCTCTAACATATGGCAGTACAGCAGGTACACGCTCGACTGTGGCCGGCTTCACTCGTTCTCTGTGACGTAGGCGCGGGACCCGAAGCTTGTTGTCATGCAAAACTTGCTTGACATGTTGGAGCTCGGCAGCCAGGTGTTTACTGTCACAGATCCCTCGTGCTCTCTGAAACAAAGATTTACCCACGGTAGCTAACTGTGAAGGATGGTGGTGAGAATCACCGTTTAAATATCTATCTGTATGGGTCTTTTTTCTATACACAGTATGGCTCAAGGTGTTATCAGGATTCCGAATTACTAACACATCTAGAAAAGCTAAGGAATTGTTTGCCTCTAACTCCATTGTGAACAGAATTTTAGAATTTATAGAGTTAAGATGGTCTAAAAATGCAGTTACTTTATCTAAAGGTAGAATTTTTAGACCATCTTAACTCTATAAAAAAACCCGCGTCAAAGAACATATAGCCGATGTGAAGAATCGACGCTCCGGGAAGTCTGCAGTCTGTGAACATGTACAGGATCGCCCCCGTCACTACATCAGATTTGATAGACCACAAATCCTCGCTAAAGAACACCGATTCCTTCCAAGGATGATTCGCGAGGCTATTGAAATCAAAAAACATCCTAATTTCAATAGAGAAGATGGCTGGGTGCTACCATCTGCTTGGGATCCTATAATAAATAAAATTAAATCCCAACCCAAGCATACAACTGCAAGACTCCATGATACCATAAGTTCATACTGTGTAGATCGGAACAAAAGTTAAATTTTAATCTATGGTAACCGCGGTTAACTATGACAGCTGGACGTTGAACATCTCAGTCCTTCCCGTGACCATGGGTGCTGTAAAGCTCTCGAAACGTCGGGTAATTAAAAAGTTAAATATACGCGATAAATTCCGTAAAAACTAGTATTATTTCAATGTGTAGTGTTCGCGTAAATATAAGAAATCAATAGGTGTTATAACCCTATTCCTCAAAGCACTTCCTTCGGGCTGTGTAGTCATTGGGCCGACCCATTCGTGCTACAACTATACTACTAATATAACTGCAGCATGGCTCTACCACCTATAAAATTATATATATTCTAAAGTATATCTAAATGAACATGAAATAACTATTTTTGCCGCTCAGCAGCAGTGCACCACCGCTATAATCAGTTTAGAATTTTATTTTTCTTGACATTCCATCTTTATCCTTAGGGGATGACAACGCGTTTATAGCTTTCTTTCTTTGCCGTCAAATTGCTACTCCAACATATTACAGAAATGGTTTTGTTTAATCATACTCTATGAGAGGCGTGGTAGCTCAGATGGTTAACGTTTGCTGTAAATAAATATATTCGCCAAAACGCATTGGGGCAGCGCGGCGGACACTTCCTTGCCCTAAAACCCTCTCAGAAATGAGGGAGGCCTGGCCCAGCAGTGGGACGTATATAGACTGTAACTTTACTTTACTTTTTTATGTTAAAAAAAAGCCTAAAAGAAATTACGTAAGAGAATTCACTACATTATTCTATTCCTTGGGTAAGTTACACGTGGTAGAGACATGCTGCAGTTATATTGTACTTGCAGCACGAATGGGTTGGCTCGACCGGGGAAGGACCACGCTCTCACAGAACACCAGCGTAAAGTAGCAGCTTAATGCTACTGTGTTTCGTATGGTGAGTGTAGAACACCGGAGACCCTTTTTACTGGAAACGAGGCATTTCATCGCTGTCCTCAGGGCTGGCAACGCATCTGCATTTTGATTTTAACTGAAGATAAGTGTGGATGTCTATGGGCCACAGCATCCACTTACCGTCAGGTGGTATGCTTGTTTGTCACACTTATTCTTTAAAAATTAAAAAAAATAATAAAGAAAGTTATTAAGAGGCGACGGGAGAAACCGACACCCACCGGACATGGGCGGTAGTATTTTCCTGATAATAACTCAAAATTATGAATAGAACTGCCTATTTACAAGTGGACTTTGATAGCCTGCCATGATGATAATAATGATAGTATTGATGATGAGTAAGAATGAAGTAAATATAAAATACTAAGATTTAATGACTACAGAATTTGAAATTATTTTACTATGTTTGAAGTAAGCTTTTCAAAGCTTAAATCTAATTTATTATTTTGAGTGGAGTAAGGAATATCACAATCCCAGTGTTGTCTAAATAGTTCCACTCATAGCTTTGGGAGTGAAATTTTCTCATTAAATTTATATGCCACCAGACCGGAAGTATACTACCTGTTCAATAAAAAAGAAATCATTAAAATATATTTACAACTGACGAAGATATCGCGTAATATACATATACACAACCAGCCAGAATAGCTTCCTAGGACCTCGAAACGTCGAGATGTGATGAGAACTCGATTTTCGAAAATCAAATTGAAAACAATAACTTCCCGATTTTTTGGAAAATCATTGATTTTATAGCGGGAAGTTAAAAATAAAATAAAATAAAATCATACAGTCGAATTTTTAACCTTTTTGAAGAGTTAGCGTAGCGGCTAGGCATTTTGACACAGGATCGAATCCTGTACAGAACAAGCGTTTGCATAGCTTTCAAATAACTGTTTATATTTAATATATATAGTCTTCTAAGGAAGAATTAATAACT